TATATATATATATATATATATAATAATTTTTCAACTATTGTGTATTAAAAAAAACATATTGATTGTTTTGAATTAACAGTAAGGATATGTAATACTTTTGAAACTAACTGTACATACATCCACGAATTGTTTCCTTTTCTGTCCTTTTGTGCCATTTCTCTCGTGAGTAAAGCTATAAATAGCATTGAACAAGGCGAACGTCTTGAAAACAAATGACCATGTGGATATTTCCCACCCCCAAAGAAACTGAAATGTTATCTTATCACGTCATCCTTTGTTTTACAGCGGAAAACCGATAAGCGACCGATCTGTCTGTTACAATATCTTTGTCTCTGAAATTTTGATAGGAAACGACAAAACCCTTAAGGGTCTACATTGATACGCAGCATTGATACAACCACGAGGATTATACACCTTTGATATTTACCTTTTAAATTTTTATACGTAACGGTTCAACATTGCTTCAAGATATACAAAATATGAAATATTAAACTATTGCTATATGTTCATTTTAAATTTATATATGCAACTATGTAATTCTTGCACATTCAAATTGATCAACAATACGTAACAAATTCTTATACATTTTTTTTTGTAACTTCGTTTTATAACTCGCATACACCACTGTAGGAATCGTGAAAAAAATAGGATTATTGGACTAACTGAACCGAAACTCGAACCCCGAATCTTCTGCTTTCCGGATAACTACACTAACTTTTTAACTATCTAAAACCCTTCAGTCAACTTCCTCGCGAATGCCGGTTGACTTTTATTTCAAACGAAATTTCTCGATCCCACACAACGATGCAACATTTTTTTCTTCATCCACAGTAATACGCATCGGTGATACGAAACGAAAATACAAAACAAAATAATTTTGTTATCTTCATTCAACATTTTTGTATATAACAATTCAATGCTTACCTGTCAACATTGGTACATAAGGATACGCAATAAATTGTTATATAAATCTTTTCATTTTCAATTTTTATACGCAACAATGCAACATTGATTCGTTAAAATTGATACGCATGGATAATACAATACAAGAATATCGGACAAATGAATTTACATTTTGTGCATACAGATTTCTGTACTCTTTTATCAAATACTTTGTTTAAAAGGAATAAATATCTGCTTTTTCAACGATACTGATTCTTTAATTACATTTGCCTAAAAGTGATATACCTTAACTCAGAGTATTGAATATTTTAAAGGATTTAATCGAGCAGAATATTAGATAGCTAATTTTCTTTTCTTGCTTTGGTTTTTTCGTGATATCGTGGTATGATATCGATTGATAATATTTAATAGGGACTATTATTGTTGAGCGTTTACGAATCATGATTGGCATTGATATGTGAAGGTTGTTTTAAGAGAGATCGTAAATAGACTAATTAACATTCATTTTTTACGTTCTTCAATAATTTCTAACGTAACGAGAATACTTTTTTTAAAATTCTTAAGTCACCTCTTTCGTGGAATTATGTTCTAAATTCGTCAACGAAAAAATAAACAAAAATAAATCTTAATTAAAACACTGTTACACTAATTTCTAGAATAACTTTATGAATTAATATTCTTACGATAACTATAAGAATCACTATAACGTTTTAAAAACAAACAGATTTAAATATGAATAGTAGCGTGAAAATTTTGTTTGAGTGGGTCATGTTTGTTATGTGCGCAGCTTAAAACTTTTGTTTTATTTCTATAAATATTTGAAATCGATAAACTTTGTTGGAAAAATTTGTTACCACTTTTATTTGTTCGGTCGATATTTTTAAAAAAACATTTTCGGTCAATATGTTGTAAAATAAATCTGTACGAATATTATTTTCGATATAAACAATAATTTATCAGTATTTAGAATAGGGACAGAATTATTCCGTCAGATTTACATATTAATTATGAGTACATATCGATATTTTATTATAAATACTAACAATTCAATTAAAATATTGACAATCTTCGATATTAATCGATGTAATCTAACCGATAAACGATTTATCTAACATTTATTGGGTTGGGTAAAAAGTTTCTTCGTATTTTCCTGAAACATGATTTTAAAATCGTATAACTTTCGTAATATTAATCAGATCTGAAAATATCAGTAACGAACTTAACATTCAGCATTAAACAATTTTAAAGAAGAAGACTGAATACAAAAATATTAATAATAATTATATTACAATTTTGCATTAAAATACGAAGAAACTTTATCCCCGGCCCTATGTATTACACTAACGGTTCTCAAATTGTACGAAATATTACCAAACTTTGTTCGTGTTTTATTTTTATATTCAATCCTATGTGATGAAATGAACAATTTAACGGATTTTATAGAAACCATAAACTCATGTACAATAACTATTAACTGTTTGCAGAAAACTTTACAAATAAAACGCGTTTTATTTATTTTTAGCTAAAATTTTAATATTATAATAAAATAAATTTTAGACTCTTTTGCATGGTGAACTAGTTAGAATTTAACCTAAATTCCTAACAATGAACCTAAATTCAACAATTGTTTGAGAAGCACTGCGTTAAACTAATACTTCTCATTATAAATACTTACGATTTATATCAAATATCGATAAACAATATTATAAATTACTAACTCCAATAAATAGCAGCTAACTATTACTAACAAGCTCATAAATAAAATAATTAATAGGAATAATTCCCAATGCATACCAATAAACGATAAATATAAAAATTGTAAAATACAAATATTATGTGTGAAAATAATATTTAACGAAGATATTTATTATCGATAAAAACTCGCGTTTAAAATCATTCCAAAGGTTCGAATAATATTGATTCGAGTGAAGCAAAAAAAAAAAAAAATAAAATCGATAAATTCAATCGAAGCACACAAATTCGATTCGATACGACGCGAAGTGGATATCCTATACATTTTTCAAAAAGGCACGTAGCTTTATTTTCTCGCAAAAAGATAGGAAAGAGATAGAGAAGGGGGATGGGGGAACGGGATGGGGGTGAAGTGGAGTCCACAGTAGTTTAGGGAACTCTCGACTATGGGATTATCGTGCTATCCTTAAAACGAGAAATGCCTTTTGCAAGATGCAGTTAGGTTTGGAAAATAGAAAAAGAGAGAAAGAGAGAGATAAAGAGAGAGAGAGAGAAAGAAAGAGTAAATACTTACACATTGACCAACATCGGATACGATTTACTCTCGTCGAAATTGTGTGGTAAAAATAGTCTGACTTTGCTATCGTAACCGTTTGCACGAACGTATAAGTCCTTGACGATGGGTAACTCTCTTCTGGTGAGTTTACGTCGTAATAACAGATTGTTTTCCCATGAGTAGACTTTTCTGTGATTTGAATTGAAAATATCGATGATTGTTGGATCCGGACCTTGACAGATTAACACGTAATACGACCTAAATGGCGAGAATAACACGTCTGCGTATTTACACGTGTTACCTGAAATTAAATTTTTGAATAGATCAAATCTCGTGATACATTTTTGACATAGGAGAGAAACAATAGTAAATTTTCTATTCCATCCTTTTAAATTCGTACCGCAATATTTTACGCTTTTTTGAGAGAAGTTTGGAAAAAAAAGTATTAAACTTTTTTCGAATGAAAATTGTTCAATTGTTTACAATAGATTAAATTTTTGTTTTGTATAAAACGAAATAATTTACTTGCAAGTATATTCGGTATTCGTAGTTTCCTTTTAAAAAATAATTTCATTGTTAATATTATTTAAACAATTCAGAGATTTCTCTAAATTTTCTATTTGATATATCACATTTACAAATGCCGTTAGTACGACAGAATTCTTCTGTAAAAGATTAATATTCACATAGCTAAAATGATAAAATAGTGTATATGCTCGATGCTATCGCTATTCATGTGAATTTCGTTTCGTCGTATACGGAATATGTTATGAAATATAGAACCGAGAGGAACGATCGATGTAATTTCGAAGGTAGAAATTCAACGAAATTATAATGAAAAAGCAGGATTCTACGTGTCCTATAATTCCTACGATAAATCCATTTAAATACACGTATATGCACATGTACAGGCTGTTTCGTACATAATTTATGAAACCCACTTGAAGAGTTAACAGGGGATACAAAGTGATGAAAAAACTTCATATAAACATGTATTCTATTTGATCATGTTTCAAATTTATAGCCCACTTTTATGTTTCCATTAATTTACGATAACTTATTTTCATAGAAAGTATACAAATTTAATTAGTTCAATTTCATCACTCAGTTATCTAATTAGAAGTATTTCATTATTTTTTATTTGTGCTGCGTGTTAAAAGTGTTATAAGTTAAGTAATTAGATATTTATTTTGGGGATTATTTGATAACAATTGTGTATTCGATATTCATTATTGAATAATTTCAAACACGTATAGAAAATGATTGTCAACAGATTCAACGGATACCTGAAATTTTTGAGATATTGCGAAATTTGATGATACAACTATTGCAAACTTGGATGCACACAAACCGATGGTATTTAATTCGAACACTGAGACTCTTCCACTAATAATTGAAACACACAAAAATCCCTATAACTTTGAAACAAGATCAAATAGGATAAATATTTGTATAAATTGTTTTCATCGTTTTCGTTTCAGTTGTTCACTTTAGGAGTGGATTCGACATATTATGAAACGTCCTGTATAATACAGTTCGAGGATTAGTGCAGTTAAAACGGTAGATTAAAATGACGATTTTAGTTGAACAACATTTTAACGTAATGAAAAAATAAAAAAATAAGAAAATAAAATTTTGGAATGTAATAAAAATCTCTCATTCGTGGAATTTACCTTCGGGCGTTAGAACGTTGCATGATATGCAAGTAGGTTCCTTGCTGCCATCGGCAGGTACAGAATATAAATTCCTTTGGGATGGTTCCCCAGGTCCACTAGCAAGATAGTAAATTCTACCATTGAAATGGTCGATTGCACGAATATCTTGAACCTCTATTGCACCCGGAGTTAGGTCCTTTTGAATCAGCGTTGATCCAACTTCCTCGTATCTTGTCACATGATTAAATCTTCCAGCTTTCGTTCCTAAAAAAAAAAGAACAAAATATTCATTGTAACAAAAGCTTTAAAAAACGTACACGAATAAAAAGACATATTGTGGAATTATGTTCGAGTTGAGGTGGATGATTCCAAAGAATGGAATTTCCTTTGAGATCGTATCAACGAGTGTAATATAAATCGTACGTTGAATGATAACCTATCTTCTTTTAAAACGATACACCAACCATTTCATTTGCAGTTCGGAACTTTGAAATTTGAAAACTCTGGAGTATTCTTGTACAAAAAAAAAATCAAATCCTTATTATCTGTCTGCGCGGAGTGATAATAAAAAGGTGGTTTAAAATTTGAGAGGCCTGAATTATTTTTTAACACGTATTACTTTTAAAATTTGTATTATTTTTTTAAATAATGTTATTTTGATAGCTAAATTTTTGTTATTAATTATTCGGATGAACATATTTCTTCGTCTGATCTTCAAAACTTAATTGTTTCATTTTCCAACTAGACTTTTTATTACCAAAAATTTGAATAAATATATTTCTATATATATATAGTATATATACGATCCTCAAAACTCTTCATTATATCATTTCCTAATTATTATTATTTTTATTTTGTAATATATTTAAATTTGTACTATCCTTTAATTTATATTATTTTTAATTAGATTTTATTATAAATAAAAAATTTGAAAAATTACCAGATTGTTGTAGTTTACGCATGTAAACGGAATCATTGTAGAAGAATAAATTTTTAATATCTACCCATCCCTCCGATTCTGCAATGTGAAACGTTTTAACAGTTTCGCCGTACATGTTGTACCAAACAATTTCAGTCTCATTTTGTACACGATTCGACCACGTAACAATGACATTATTAAAATCTTTCCATTGAACGTTGGTCAGTACGTTGTCTCTATACATATCATATAAAGAAAAATGTAAGCTAAATATAAGTCAGTAATGTGAAATATTCCATTTACTTAAGCAGAAAGTAACGTCACTCACGTGCCGACTATATCTATGGGGGCCTCCAAATCTATCTTATTTAACGTAGGATCGTGAAGATCGACGAGCGTCAAAGATACCACAGGATTCGATGTGCCAGCCTGAAAATAGGAAAGACATCGATCAAAAGAGTAATATGGTTTGTATGATTATAGTACGGTTCTTACTAACATTACGATCGTTTTCATTCTAACGTTCATCTTCAAAACCATCATATTTTCTTTAAATTAAGATATAAATCATACGTTGAAATATAAATCTATGTATCCTTAACAGAAAAGAAATAAAAAAAAAAAAGAAAACAATTTCAATAAAATCAAAGGGTTTCCTATAATAGAAATTGTTCTTATCCGACAATCGTAAATTATCGTTACTAATCGTTTTTATACTAACATTCATTTTAAAACCCATAATCATATTTTATTTAAATTTATTATCAGGTAAGTCGAAATAAAAGAAATTATTTATATAAGAAAAAAATAATGAAAAATAACAATTATAAAGGGTATATCTATATCGTTGAAATTAGTATCTTATAGACAATACTGAAAATCCTAAAGGAGCTCGATCGAGAAGGGAAACCGCAAAGCACTTTGGGTTTGTTCGAAACCATCTAGTTTGGTAGAGGTTAGGTGCACCTCGATAATGGGATTATCCACGGAGAACGTATCGATACACGCGTGACTAAAATGGTATCCACCTCTCTCTCTCTCTCTCTTTTGGTAAAGAAGAGAAGGATTAAACGAAACCAGGTACACGAGAGGAAAAGAGAGGAAAAGATATAGAGATAACCCTTTTCATTCTACGAAAGCCGCCGAGCATGTTTCTGCCAAGACCTTTACGCCAGTTTTAAATCGTCGCTTCTGTGATACCTCCACTAATCTACGGACGAAAAAACAAAGTGAAAGGATTACTCAAACTGATCCTCTTTCAACGACTAGTGTTGCTTTTTACAACATCCGCGCCCATCTTTTTCTCTTCGATGCATTTTCCATTTCATTGTTCGTTACGAATTTCAAACGTTTGACGGTATTTCTGTCTTTTTTAAATATTATTCTTTGTTGTAAACGTACACGCCGTATAACTGTTAATTCTGGATTTGATATTTTTATTTCACGTTAATTAATATCAAAATATTCATCTTTTAGATATATGATCGATCGATTGAAACAAATAATTGTTTATTTTTGTTCTTCCAAATATTATTATTAGTATTTTCATATTTAAATGTAAGTAATATATTTTAAAACGTAAAACACTTTTTTTTCTCACATCAAAAATTAAAATCAAGAGTTTGACGCGACAACAGGATTGTATCGGTAGTTTTGTTAACCCTTAGTGTACAACACATCTTCCTATCGAATCATTAATTGTACACAGAATCTATTCGACTTTGAATATCTCGACAACTATGCGCTTTTCGAAAAAATAGTTAGAGATACTTTTTGTAGTAAACTGATTGAAAGTTTAAACCCGTGTAGTCAGATTTGCAGAAAGAAAAACCGTGCTTGAAGTTGATGTTTGGTAATCGAGTACAAAGAAAAAGTTTCAATCAAATTGATTCCTAACGCAAACTAATGCAAGGATTATGTTTTAATTATTTTAGGAGTAGAATTCCTGAAAACTTACGAAACGTTTAAGTAGAAAAAAGAATATGATGCACTGGCATGCAAAATTTCCGACAAAATTTATAATTTAAGAATAAAAAGTAGGAAAAAATGATAAAAATTGACAAGTAAGTGAAGAGTAAATGTCAGCTAGTAAGTATTTTGGTCGACAATGAGTAGAGTGAATTGAATAATATCGAACGATAACGCAAATCGAGCTTCACCTTGGGGTACTTAATCTTCACTTCCGTGGGATATTGGTCCCCGAGGCTGCCGGGTTCTCCGTAATGAAGATACAAGATTTCATGGACTTTTCTGTCATCGAATGTTGCGTATGCTAACCTATTACCATCTGGAGAAAACCAAATGGCGGATGATCCATGTAACACTTCCTCTGCAACAATAATAATTTATTATTATCATTAACAAGTAAAAATATATAAATATATTTATATACACATAATCATTATAATAATTATTATAATTATTTGTAATACTACATAGAATAAAAATAAAAACACCACTAAATTTAACCAAATCGATATTAAAGATATTTTCAAAACAAAACAAAAATTAATAACTTTCGAATGGTAAAATTGTAGCCGAGTTTTTCTTAATTTTAAAAAATAATTTCATTTTAAATGGTAAATGTGTTCCATGTAACACTTCCTCTGTAATAATAATTTGTTATTATCGTTAACGAATAAAAGAATATAAATATATTTATACATGCTCAATATATAATATGTTTTATAATTATTTCTAATATTATATAAAATTAAAATTGTATAGACGAACTTTTGTTAAATTTTAATCTATCGATTGAGTTAAATTTAAAATAAAAATCTAAAAATAGAATAGAATAAGAAATCTTTTCGTCTATGCGTAAACGTTTAGGTATAATAAGGAACAATACACTCGTTGAATAATTTATAATTGAGAATACTGATGTTTTGGTCTAATGAATAATACATTAATCACTGTTACCTTCGTAAACCCAATCAGCCACGCCATTATAAATGATTCCGGCAATGCCATCGTCCGTCACTCTTTGTACATCATTAAAACCGTTGTTAGAGAAACGTTTATAATAAATATCGTTGTCGAGGATATATATCAAATCGTCTGTTAGTGGTGCCCATTTGACAAGGGCGATATGCATACCATCGCCAATTTTATCATATTGTCTAAAAAAAAAGATACAAAAGAATAATAAAATAGATCGATTAGAATGGACGAACTTATGAATAGAAAATGGATGTGAAGCTTTGTGTTTAAAATAATTGCAATATCGATTGATATATAGGTTCAAGAATTGAAAGTAACTAATATTGATAAAGTATTTTTATTCATCTCATTTAGAAAATATCTGATAAAATAACAAAATTACAAATATAAATTGCTTTCTAAGTGATATCGTATTGTCTATAGAAAAACTCATATTTTATTTTTTTAATAAAATTATCTATTTTTTTCTCTTTGAGATAAGCTCTTTGCTATTGAAGAAGCTTATCGTTTCTAAATATGATAATTGAAAAAAAAAAAGCATATAGGTAATGATAATACTTTACATACCCAAGTTCAGTATCATAAATAACATATCTCATGAACGTCGAATATCTGAATCCCTAAAATATAAAATTTCTAGAAAATTTCTAATAAAATCTATTGGTAATTAATTAGATTTAGGGAAAAAGTTTCTTCGTATTTTCAATTGTAATAAATTTAAAATCGCATAAATATTATATATATGACTATTAATCGAATCTGGCAATACTAGTGTACGTTTAAAAGTAAAAATATTAGATGATAATCAAGAAAAAAGTTATGACATTTGTTTATTCGGTCAAAACTTATTAAGTCTTGAAAATGAGTGAAAATGAAGAAAATATTCGATATGTTTTTGAAATTGTATAACAAAAAAGGGAAGAATACGACTGAGGTTGTATAAAAATATTTGTGATGTTTTTGAACATGATGCGGTATCAGCAAGCACACATATGACACAATTCTGATTCAAACGTTTTCGATCTGAAAAAATTGATATCAAAGATGCATCTGGCTTCGGTTGATCAATCACTGGAAAAATTGATGAAATCATGGAAAAATTTAAGCATGATTGGCACTTTAGCAATTTATTGATCGAAAAAGAACTAAATATCGAGCACAAAACAATTTAAAAACCATTTGAAAAAGACAGGATAGAAAATATGAACAAAACTTATTTAAGTTTTGCAATAAAATACGAAGAAACTTTTATCCCGATCCAATATTAAATGGAAAAGATAAAGAAGTGTTGATGCTTACTTTTTGAACATCGTATCCGATAAGAAGAAATCGTCCGGTCGGTGATAATAAATAACTTTCTACTAAATAATCGTCCTTGAAAAAAATTTAATATCAATATAAGAAAAGATTATTACTTTGTTGCAGATAAGAATTACTACTATTTGTATTTTTTTTTTTTTACAACTGTATACATAATTGCGAAAAAAACAGTAATAATCCAGTATGGAATATCGAAAAGAATTCTATTAATATTTAAAAAATATACAAGTGATAAATCGAAACCAATGTTTTTTAGGCTTATCTAAAGTTATGTACTGAATTGATAAGCTGTTCAAATCGTGCAGTGATGTTAACACTAAAACTACCGATAATTCTTGTACATTTATTTCTATTAGACCAATCAAAACATTTGGTTATTGATAAAATATGTTATTAAAGAAAAATAAAATTTTATGTTATGTTAACACTCCATATTTTTTTATTTTTTTCTATTAATAACACTATTACTATGGCCACAATATCATTTCTATCTAAAATTAATCATAGTGGTTATATAATATTATATTTTATAGGTATTACTATCATCACTTTTATTATATTATTACTATTTTGTCACACACACATATATCATTATTATAACATATCTCATTATCAAATATTCATGAGATACATTTCGATATTAGACTAAATTACACTAATCTAATATCTAGTTTAAATCTTTAATAATCTTTTTAATTATTGCTTCCTATCGCAACAAAATAAAGTATACATTTCATAATATAACTTACTAAATTATATACTATATTTGGTGACTAGCACATATTGCATCCTAGCTATTTTTGAATTTTGATTTATTGTCAATTTAGAATAAATAAAATATTGTATATATATGCCAATAATTATAACAATGAACTAATATAAATCGAAATATTAAAAAAAAAAAAAAAATACATTTCATCACTAATTTAATATTACAATTTTTTGTAATATTATAAAATAAATTATAAAATAAATTTGTCAATTTACATTTGTTTACTTTCATGATATATGATATATTTATATTTACAAATATATGTTTTTTTAATTAATAAACAATTACTAAAAAGACTCAATGTACTTTAACCAGATATTTTAATTAGTTTTTATAGTTCTAATGTTAATATGATAATATTTAAAAAAAAGCATTTCTTACAAAAATTGATACATCGATGATCACACTCGATTGTTGCTTCACAACGTCAAATTGAAGAATTTCTCCTATCGTTTCGGACATATAAAGTATCGTGGTATCCGATGTCCAAGTACCGTTGAAGGTACGTGATAGAAAATCGGAAGTGTAAGTCTCCTCAAGTTTGAAAGGTACTTTGGAAAGATTCGAACCATCCTGAGTTTCAACTACCCCCTCCAAGTTATCCTTATCGACGACACGACTCACTACTAACAATAAGTATACAAATATCGATCTATTTTCTGACTATTTAATTTAGGACGTTGAATGTTACTTTAATTTTACATGGGGGACATGCTTGTGGCATCAACACGAATTTGTTATTACACGTTTATATATTATATAACTATAATAGATAAATTCAAGCAAAACCGCATGTTGCGTTGGTCATAAGACGAAAAATTATTACAGTTTGATCGGGATGTTCTATCTCATCCTTTGAACTTTCAAGACCTTGCTTTATCCAATTATTACTTGTTTATCTCGTTAAAAAATTTTCTCAGTAGTAAATGTATAAGAACCGTAAAAGAAATAAAAACGCAACATGATGGAAGAAGGTAATATATATAAGAAGATATTATACTTATTATATACATGTTCATATATAACACAATAAATCAACCTTAAACAACAAATATCGTATATTCATTTCGCATCAGAAAAAAAGAAAAAACTTATAGGGACCCTTTGTAAATATATGTAATATTATTATATTATCATTATTTTATATTATAATTTTGTAATTGTAATATAAAATAAATGAGAAAATATATCCGTTCAATTTTTCGACACTTAAATGACTATTATTAGTATCGGCACTTATATATATTAAATTTTTTATAATAATTGATATTACTCGACTACTATGTTTTCTAACTGCTAATTTAACGGTTTAACCTTCTAACACGATTTATCTTCTCTACGTTTTCGAATATACATGAAAAAGTTAGACAAACTGGACGGTCGTTCGTCGTGCGTCAACTAAATGCACTTTGCAATTTGTTCAGGATAATTTTATTAAAAAGTTAACCACAACTCGTTTTATGTATTTAGGAGTTGGACTTTTAAATGACCACTTTAACAAGGTGTTACTTTTGCGTAATAGAACTCCGTACCTTTTTGTTAATACATTTGTCACCGTTGTGTGGTAATGAACTTTACGAATTGTGATTTAATTATGATGATTCTACTTTTTACTGAAGATGATGAACAATTTGAAATATTCATTTATTAAAATGATTGAAGAAAGGACGTTACGATCACTCATTCTGATTTATGCTTTTCATAGTAATACTCGATAAGAACGTAATGCTTTATCGATCCTATCGAGTGCAAATTTTTTTTACTTCTTATCTTTTATTTTCATTCCCCTAATTCAATATCTTCTTCAAGTTCTACGATTTAGAGTGATGCTCGAGATGAACGTGCTATACGAGAGATGAGATGATAAAATTTTCGATCCGAAAAATTCTCTACGAAAGTGTGTGAATTAAATTTTTCTAGATAACGGTGCGAATTGAAATAAAAAAATCTTTTTGACGAGATAAGATTTTCGATTTCGAACGATTCCACGAAAGCGTGTTAATTAAATTTTGTGTAGATAATGGGTGCGAATTGAAATGAAAAAAATTTTTTTTTTTTAATCAATGATAAATATAAATATTATTAAAAAGTTTCTTTTAAATATTCGAAATGAATATGTTATTCTCTATTCTATTGAATATTTTTATATTTTCTATTTGATATTTTTAAAATATATGTTAATTGTTCAAAAATTTACCTGTTCTTGCTGTCAATAAGACAAAGAAGAATCCGTTAAGAAATACAAAACTCCGTAGTGGAATCTGAAAAGAATTTCATGATTACAGAAAATGTAGGGGTCTTAAAAATTAAGAATCTAGACCACGCCACAAACTTTCAAGCATTATTCTCTTTTTCTTTCTCTTTCCCCTTTTTTTCCTCGTCATTTGTTAAGTCAAGAAATCGGAAGAAATACGTAAAGTAACCCAAATGCATTTCCCCTTTTCGAAACGAACAGAACGAAACAGAAGGTGGAAGAAAATTTTCGAATAAGGTGGGTAAGAAGAAAGGAAACAAGGAAAGCTAAAGAAAAAAGAAAGAAAGAAAGAAATAAATAAAAGAGAAAAAGGACGACGTCTACGTGACAGAAAACTTTTGGCAATGGAACGTACGGAATTCCACGAGGTCGCTTTGGCCCAACGACAATAATTCCATACTCGAGAACAAGCCTAAAAAGCACTAAAAGCTATGAAATTACTGTCGTCGTGCCAACTTCTAACTGCGCTCGTAAACTTTTTTATCGAGGCACCACGTACGACGTCGGGTCTGCCACGGGAAATATCACGAAATCTGAGACTTTCGAAGGTTTTCCTTCATTTTCTGATTTTTCCTAGATTTATTTACATACGTTTGCATATATTTGCATCGCATATACAATGTATGATAATGTATGATAGTATAATAAATCCATTATTTTATTTATCAGCTTTTTAATATATTTTTTGCCTATATGCACTTTGTTTGATCTTAATTTTTGTAATAAAAATTATGCATTATTATTAAAGGTAAAATTTGTTTTCAAATGAACATTTTTCATCGTGACACGGTTCAAGGTTTCGTTCGAGGAGAATAACTCGTGAAAAAATTTTAGGGCTGGATTGAAAGGTTTTATCACACTTTGCATATTCGTTTGTATATTGCATATTGTATCTTTTGGGATTATAATTTATTTGAATCAATGGAAACACGCATTTTAGGAATAAACAATTTGGAAATGTGACTGAAGTATAACATTATTTAATTTCATATTTTTATTCAAAATAAATTAGTTTTTACGAAAAAAAAAGTAACAAATAGAAATTTATATAATAATTGGAAAAACAATAGATTAAGGAAATTATATTTTTTTAAATTATGTAGAAAAACTTAAAACAAAGTTTAACCTTTACAAATTATAAAATAATGAATTTCTCTTCAACATATGTAATATACTTAAAAGTATATTCATAAATTTTATGCTCACACGTGTGGTAACGCATAAATATTTATATCTATACAAAAAATGAACAAGCAAGAAAAAAGTACACGTACAGTGAAGTTGAAACATTACACAATGTACCGGAAACTATAACAGTGGACTAATGAAAGTCATTACATATTATATTACAATTATTTATATTAGATAATAAATTATAAAGTCAATGTTTTCAATTTTCTGACTAATTGTAAGTCCAGTGTCATAATTACCATCATACATTAAATATCCTTTATATCCTTGAAATGTTTAACATTGAATCCTATTCGAAGAACAAGCTAGAGTGAATCTCATGGTAACTACTTCAAGGACACTCCAATATACTCAACTATAATTATATGCTTTCCCATTGTATTCAATTATCATCTTATCCAAAAATCTTTGGAAGTAAAACAAACCAATTATTAAAATCAATCATTTTTGATAAAAAAAATAATTCTTTGAATTTTTAATAAATTACTAATAACAAGCATTAATAATTAACCAACATAATATTTTGTCGGTATAATTTATATAAACGTTCATGAATTATAAAATCATTCCTATATTTTTTCTCCCCACTGTATTTCATCTGCAATTTATCCATAAATTTTTATAAGTAAAACGAAACAATTGTAAAAAGTCAATATAGATATAAATGAATTATTTTTATTCGAACTAAAAATTTCTTTGAATTTTTAAACAAATTGTTAATCAAAAGTATTAATAATTAACCGGTGTAATAATATTTTGTCAGTAAAGTTTCTATAAACGTTCATGAATTCTAAAATTATTCCGGATTAAAGAACAACGGTATCCATTCTTTCCTTTTTATGAAAAAGAATTTCTACCTCATCCCTTACCCGCTAGAATGGAAATGTGATTTATTATTAAAACAGTATTTCCTTTCTCTCTTTCTCTTATTTTCTTTCTCTTTTCTTCATACCTGCAGGAATTTCCCAGTCTTCGATAGAGATTCTCTACAAGTCCAAAGTATAAAATAGAGAAAGAGAGAAGGAAAAAGAAAGAGAGAAAGAGAGAGAGAAAGATAGAGAGAGAAATATAAGGTACAGATACTTTCAAATCCTCAAATAGTTTCGCGGATGTAGAACTCAGCCAAGAACCGAAAGAATTCCCTTTTGCGTTTCTTCTATCGATCGATTCCAACTCTTACTTTTGGACCAACCAACGAAGTAATAGTCGTTTCATGAACAGGAAACAAACGATCATGAGTATCGAAAAATCGAAGAAACACGAACGTGAAGTTATTTGTTTATATGATATTACTCGAAATTCATTTACTTCAATTGTGTTATTAACCTTTTTTTGTTCAAGGTATTTTACCCTCTGAACTTCCAAAGAAATTTCTTTCTCCACATAATAGGAAATTTCTCATAGAAATATCGACCCGTAATCAACTATAGGCGTTCCAACGCGTGGTGGAAAACAGGAACATAGCAAAAATAACGTAATTAAATGACAAATAATTTCTAACCTATTTTCTTTTTTTTTCTTTTTTATTTTCAATAGTACCGTTTATAATCTAAAATAATAATATTCGAATTTATTGTATTAGATCGATACTTTACAAAAAATATTATGATAACTATTCGCGAAATCATTAGACAAACGATTTTACTATTTTTTTAATAAATTTTCTTATTCAGAAAATCTGGATAGTTTGACGTAAGGTAAATATTGTTTAATTTTCTTCGTTTATCATATATTAAATTAAAAATACAAATTTACTTGGTAACTGAAATAAAATTCGAAATTCGACTCTGAATAGGTGTCTCTGAACGTGTTAATAAATAGGTAACTCTGAAACGTGTTAAAAGTTATGCAAATAATAAAGTATATTAGAAAAGCAATGATTCTCCGAATACAGATAAGTTTTTTTCTTATTTTCTCTTCTTCGGGATATTAATTAGATTTATGACTATTTAATTTGTAATTAATCGTTGTATGACATACATATACACGCAAGCCTACGTAATTAATATTGTATAAATAATAATTTGAGGCATAGTATATCACTATCTTAATAAAGATAACAACAAGTTAATAAACGTATCGTAACCCAACGTGACTTCCGCGATAATGAAAATGTTCAATTCTTTTTTATTTTTATGAACGAAGTATTGTTATTATTATTCGTTGACCGTGTATTGGTAATATGCAAAATGGATTGTACACGTGTCATTCCTGGTCGTACTCTTTAATCGAGATTATGTTATTGACAAATCAGGAAACACAACTAGGGTATCAACAACGAAATTGTCGTCATCTCGAATGGGAAAAGCCTAGAGACTAATCAGAATTGTTTTAAAAATAGAATCTAATACGTACATGTTGTTAATCGCAATTTAAAAATTGACCGAGTACGTATCATTCATGTATTACAACATATATTATTACATAAATTCACTTTGTAAATAACGTATGTATGCGTAAGCATATATATGTATATCTATTTCGAATGTATTGTTTTCGTACTTTTTTCACAATGAATGTTATAAGCTATGTAATTGCATTTTTTTTAAATTTATTAAAATTCAACAAATTTAAGATTGCTTATTAATCAATTATTAATTATAAAAGAAATAATTAATATCACGGTAGAGTAATATCTTTATGTTTATTGAAAATATTATATTTTTTTCAATGAATGTTTTAGGTTATGCAATTGTATTTCTTTTTTTTTTTCTAAACGCAACATCTTTAATGTATTTTACTTATCGAAAGTATTCTTCCAATGTATATTTTACGTTATATATTTGTATTGTTGTTTTTTTAATTTATCAGAATGCAACCAATTGAAAATTGTTTACTGATCAATTATTGACTTAAACAAAATTAATAAAAAATTGGAAGTTGTTTTTTATTTATTGAAAATATAAAAATATTACTTTAAAATTTGT